GCGGGCGACGGAGAAATCGGGCGGGGGGGAAATGTGCAGCGTGTGCTTCGATGATGGAGAGCGCGGAAGGAATGACGTCGCTGCGCGGAGTGTGGGGTCGGTGACGAGAAGATATAAGTCGAGGTAGGTGTGGCGCGTCGGGTGGGTGGCCTCCCCGCTGGGTATGGATGCGTGCGCGGGTTGGCAAACGCGGTGGTTGGGTGTCCGAAGAACAGAGCTTCCGTGGAGTGGGTGTGCTGGGGCGAAGATGGGGGCGAGGAGGGAAATGTGGTCGGTTCCGGGTGCGAAATTTTTGGGGGCGGGGCCCCGGGCGGGAATTTGCGGGGCGGGGGGTCTCAAAAACAAAGCTTCTGTGGCTTCGCTGGTCGGTATAGGGCGAGAAATGAGGGCGGGGCCCCAGGGGTGCACTTCCATGAGGGGTGTGGGTGCTGAGTCGAGGAAGCGAGGAGGTGGGCGCTGGTCGGCCTCGAGCGAGAAATTGCGGCGCGGGTGGCCCCGGGAACGGAGCTTCCGTGGAGCGGGGGTGCCTGGGCGAGGAGAGCGGGGAGCGGAGGGGGGGGCGTTGGTCGGTTCCGGACGAGAAATTGTAAAGTAGTTGGGGATGCCGAGGGGAGGATGGGAGCGATGGTTGGTTCCAGGCGCGAATTTGCGGGGTGGGAGGTGCCGAGAATAGAATTCGGAAGGGTGGGGGTGCCGAGGCGAGAAGGAGGGCGCTGGTCGGTTCTGGGTGTGAAATTGTAGGGTGAGGAGGTCCGAAAATAGGAATTCCGAGGGGTCCGAGGCGAGGAGGGGGGCGTCGGTTGGTCCCGGGCGCGAGATTGCAGTGCCGGGGGCTTCCAGAAAACAGTTTCCGAGGGGTGGGGGTGCCGAGGCGAGGGGGAGGGTCGCTCGTCGGTTCCGGGCGCGATGAGGTGTCCCGGGACTGATTTGGCAGGGTGGGTGGTCCCTGCATAGGCCCTAAGAACACATGGCCAGGGGATCCAGGATGGTGGCGGTGTCGGGCGCGGTCGGGGGCGCGGTTGGGGGTCCCGGGACGGATTGTACAATGTGGGTGGTCTTCAGGAACACGTGGCCACGGCGTCGAAGATGCTTGCGATGTCGGGCGCGGCGGGGGGCGTTGTGGGAGTCCCGTGACGTGGTTGGCGAGGTGGGTGGTCACCAACAACACATGGCGGAAAACTACAGGATGCTGGCGGTGTTGGGCGCGGTGGGGGCTTGTCGGCCCGGGAATTGGCGTTGGGGGGTGTCCGAACAAATTAGTGTTCGGGGGTGGGGAATCCGAGGCGAGGAGAGGGGGGGTTCGATGAGTTTCGAGGCAGGATTTATCGTGTAAGGGAGTTCGACGAACTCATTCCTCGTAGGGTGGGCCTCGAGGATACACTTCTCCTCGTTCGCTTCTGGGGTCGGCGGATCTTCGCCCTTTTTCATAACCCCCCTCGTCCTATTTGCCGCCCATCGACTGCTGCGCAGGGGTAGCCGTGTAGCCTGGGATGGGTACGTACCTGAATGATGTTGGAGGGTCACCGAAATCTGGTCGACGATGCGTGCCTGCCGAAGGCCAGGGTCAGCGTCAGCGTCAGAACCCGGATGCAGATGGGGACTTTCTGCGTTGCGGCAGCGTTTGAAAGGCCCTTTTTGGCCCAGGGGCCGAACTGACGGAACGATCTCCCGTCGTACCCCGCTCCGCTCTTGCGCCGTCCTTGTCATCCAGGACGCTTCGCGGCGTGGCGCCTCACGCCCCCTCGGTAGGCACAGGCCCCTCCTCAAGGCTCCGCTTGAGGCCCCAGCTCGGGTGTGCCGCGCGCGGGCACACGCCCGATTTGGTACACTCCTTAAATGGACCGTGTCTTCATAGGGAGCTCCATCCCCGGCCCCAGCGCGAGCGCCCGCATGCGGTCCCATGCCCGATTCAGCACACGTGCCCTCTTCGGCTTAGGCGGGAGCATCCGCAAACGAGCCCATTCCCAAGTCGGCAAACCCTTCACGCGGATTCCTCAGCGTGCAGCATACGAGGAGGCAGCTGCATTGAGCATTCGCCAGGCTGCATCTTACAATAGGGGAGAAGCGGAGCCGGCATGAGGCTGACCATGAGGAATGAGTCGGGGCTGAGACTGATGGGAACAAATCCATGACACAAAGCATGTATGTGACAGAAGGGTGTACAATACTCTGCTGGCCGGACGATGATGCATACGAGTGGCTGCCAAAAAATTTCCGACGTATCTCACGAATGGCTCCCACCAGGATTGCCCCCCCCCCCCGCTCCCCCCCTCCCTTGAAGCATTGAAGACGAGCGCGATCCGGGCTTGACCCCTCCCCCCCCTCCCCCATCCTCGCCCTCTCCAGGGAGAGGGAGGCGGGTAGCAGGCGATGCAGCTCGACCGGGCGCGCCTGTAACCGCACCGCGAGGCCGAGCCTGCTCCCGCAGCTGCCGGTGCCGCGGCCGCCCCCGCGCTGGCGAGCGGCGCTGTGGCGGCCAGCGCCGGCGACGCCGACGCAGGCCAGCGGGCGCACGCGCTTTGGGCGGGGGGCGCAGGCTGCACAGCCAGAGGCCAGGCCTCGGCCCGGGGTCGGAGGGCACGGAGGTGTGTGCGCCTGGCCCCGGGTCCTGGCCAGGGGCCAGTCTTCGGCCTATTCTCGGCGTGTGAGCCCGGGGGCACGGAGGCGCGCGCGTCGGCCCTCGGCCTCGGATTGGCCTGGCCTAGCTACGTGGACATGGGTTGGCGCCCTCCCAGAGTGGAGGGATGGGGTGGGGGGGCGGTGGGGGGAAGGGGAGGGACGGGGAGGGGGAGTGGAGAGATGAAAGGCAGGGGAGGGGAAGTGGGTTGGTGATTCTCGACTCTCTCTCTCTCTCTCTTCCTCTCTCTCTCTCCATCTCTCTCTGCTACTCTGCTACTCCACTGCTCCCCACCTTCTGCTGCCCCCATCAGCTTTTCAGTTGGCGGCCCTGAGCAACAGTCTGGCGAATCCACCACCTGTGCACGCTGGGGGCAGCCACCCTGCGAGGCCAGCCCCAACGTAAGCCTCCACGCCTGCATCCTGCTGCGGGCCACGATGACCGTTCCCTGATGGCCGGTCTTTCCCTCCGGCTTCTGTTCAGTTCAGTTCGCTGAGGAAGCAGGCGTCAGTGCCGCCCGCCCCAAACAACAGGAAGGCGCAGGCCTCGTGTTCCTCATGGGCTTCGGCCTGAGCAGACAAAATCAGGCCAAACCTGGAAAGGAGTTGGGAAGCGTCCCACTTCTCCTGCCAGGTGCCATCAACAAATTCAGGGAGCTCGTCTGGCGACCGCTGGTTTCGTCGACGGCTGGTTTCGCCCGGCTGGTCTCGCCCAGCTGGTTTCGTCCGTCGGCGAAACCAGCTCCGTCGGCGAAACCAGCTGCTGTCGGCGAAACCAGCTACCGTCGGCGAAACCAGCTGCCGTCGGCGAAACTGCCCGACCCGATCCGCCCGCTAGGGTCCGCCCGCCCGACCCGACCCGCCCGTTAGGGTTCACGCGTGCTCGGTCGAGCGTGCCCCACACTTTCATGTCCCGCCCGACCGACCCGACCCGCCCGTTAGGGTCCGCCTTCCCGACCCGACCGACCCGTCCGCTAGGGTCCGCCCGCCCGACTCGACCCGCCCGTTAGGGCTCGCGCGTGCTCGGTCGAGTGCGCCCCACACTTTAATGTCCCGCCCGCCCGACCCGACCCGCCTGTTAGGGTCCGCCCGTCCGACCCGACGCGACCCGCCCGCTGGGGTCCGCCCGACCCGACCCGCCCTTTAGGGTTCGCGCGTGCTCGGTCGAGCGCGCCCCACACTTTCATGTCCCGCCCACCCGACCCGCCCGTTAGGGTTCGCCCGCCCGATCCGACCCTACTCGCCCGCTAGGGTCCGCCCGCCCGACCCGACCCGCCCGTTAGGGTTCGCGCGTGCTCGGTCGAGCGCCCCCCACACTTTATTGTCCCGCCCGCCTGACCCGACCCGCCCGTTAGGGTCCGCCTGCCCGATCCGACGCGACCCGCCCGTTGGGGTCCACCCGCCCGAACCGGCCCGCCCGTTATGGTTCGCGCGTGAGGGTCCGCCCGCCCGACCCGACCCGACCCGCCCGCTAGGGTCCGCCCGCCCTACCCGACCCGCCCGTTAGGGCTCGCGTCGGCGAAACCAGCGCCGGCGAAACCAGCGCCAGCGAAACCAGCCGCCGGCGAAACCAGCGCGGCGAAACCAGCGGGGCGAAACCAGCGCCGGCGAAACCAGCGCCGGCGAAACCTGCCGTCGGCGAAACCAGCGTGGCGAAATCAGCGCCGGCGAAACCAGATCATGCCGCTCGTCTGGCTCCTCACCTTCCGCACGAAACCTAGTAAATATTATGGTTCTGGGGTACCCTCCGCGCTCAAGTGGGGCCTCCCTGGAGGGGTGGGAGGGGCACGAAACCTTGCAAATGATATGGGTTTGGGGTCCCCTCCTCGCTCAGGCGGGGCCCCCCTGGAGAGGTGGGAGGGGCATGGAACGTTGTAAATAGCATGGTTTTGGGATGCCCTCCTCGCTCAGGCGGGGCCTCCCTGGAGAGGTGGGAGGGGCACGAAACTTAGTAAATAATATGGTTTTGTGATCCCCTCCTCGCTCAGGCGGGGGGGCCTCTCTGGAGGGGTGGGAGGGGCACGACGCCTGATATCTAGTATGGTTTTGGGATGCCCTCCTCACTCAGGCGGGGCCTCTCTGGAGGGGTGGGAGGGGCACGAATCATCATATCTAGTATGGTTTTGGGATACCCTCCTCGCTCAGGCGGGGCCGCCCTGGAGGAGTGGGAGGGGCACCAAACCTTGTAACTAGTATGGTTTTGGGATGCCCTCCTCGCTCGGGCGGGGCCCCCCTGGACAGGTGGGAGGGGCACGAGACCTTGTAAATAGTATGGTTTTGGGATACCCTCTTCGCTGAGGCGGGGCCTCCCTGGAGAGGCGGGAGGGGCACGAAACCTTACAAATGATATGGGTTTGGGGTACCCTCCTCACTCAGGCGGGGCCTTCCTGGAGGGGTGGGAGGGGCACGACATTTGGTAAATAGTGTGGTTTTGGGGTACCCTCCTCGCTCAGGCGGGGCCCCCCTGGAGAGGTGGGAGGGGCACGAAACCTGATATCTATTATGGTTTTGTGATGCCCTCCTCGCTCAGGCGGGGCCTCCCTGGATGGGCGGGAGGGGCACGAAACCTTGTACATAATATGGTTTTGTGGTACCCTCGTCGCTCAGGCGGGGCCTCCCTGGAGGGGTGGGAGGGGTTCGAATCATCATATCTAGTATGGTTTTGGGACACCCTCCTCGCTCAGGCGGGGCCTCTCCGGAGGGGAGGGGTGAGATCTAGTATGGTTTTGGGATACCCTCCTCGCTTAGGCGTGGCCTCCCTGGAGGAGTGCGAGGGGCACGAAACCTTGTAAACAGTATGGTTTTGGGATACCCTCCTCGCTCAGGCGGGGCCGCCCTGGAGGGGTGGGAGGAGCACGAAGCCTTGCAAATGATATGGGTTTGGGGTACACTCCTCGCTCAGGCGGGGCCTCTCTGGAGAGATGGGAGGGGCATGAAACTTTGTAAATAGCATGGTTTTGGGATGCCCTCCTCGCTCAGGCGGGGCCTCCCTGGAGAGGTGGGAGGGGCACGAAACTTTGTAGTAAATAGTATGGTTTTGGGATGCCCTCCTCACTCAGGCGGGGCCTCCCTGGAGGGGTGGGAGGGGTTCGAAACCTGATATCTAGTGTGGTTTGGGGATGCCCTCCTCGCTCAGGCGGGGCCTCTCTGGAGGGGTGGGAGGGGCACGAAGCCTGATTTTTAGTAGGGTTGCGGTTTTGGGATACCCTCCTCGCTCAGGCGGGGTCTGCCTGGAGGGGTGGGAGGGGCGCGAAACCTTGTACATAGTATGGTTTTGGGATACCCTCCTCGCTCAGGCGGGGCCTCCCTAGAGGGGTGGGATGGGCACGAAACCTGGTAAACAGTATGGTTTTAGAATACCCTCCTCGCTCAGGCGGGGCCTCTCTGGAGGGGTGGGAGGGGCGCGAAACGTTGTAAATTATTTTGTTTTGGGATACCCTCCTCGCTCGGGCGGGGCCTCCCTGGAGGGGTGGTAGGGGCACGAAACCTTGTAAATCGTGTGGTTTTGGGATGTCCTCCTCGCATGGCCTGCCTAGAGGGCTGGAGAAGGGGCACGAAACCTTCCTTGTACATAATATGGTTTTTGGATATCCTCCTCGCTCAGGCGGGGCCTCCCTGGAGGGGTGGGAGGGGCATGACACCTGATGATCAGTATGGTTTGCGAATGCCCTGCTCGCTCTGGCGGGGCCTCCCTGGAGGGGTGGGATGGGCACGAAACCTGATATCTAATGTGGTTTGCGAATATGGTAGGTATGGTATGGCAGGTATGGTTTAGTGTAGTACGTATGGTATGGTAGGGGATGGCAGGGAATACGATACGTATGGTATGGCAGGTATGGTATAGTATAGTACGTCTGGTATGGTAGGGTATGGTATAGTATAGTATGGTATAGTATATTTCGTCATAGTATAGTACGCATGGTATTGGTAGGGTATGGCAGCTATGGCATGGTATAGGTAGCAGAGAAGGAGGAGAAGCAGAAGGAGAAGGAGAGGGTGGTCTAGGAAAACGAGAACCCCACTCAGGATGTGGGGAATAATGTCTGGGGAAGCCAAGCAAAGCTGGCAGAGCTCGTCCTCTGCCAGACCATGTTCTGTAAGCCTGGCCTGGGTCCAGGTGCCTAGAGCAAACGCGTTCGTGGCACAGGACTGGTGATACTTAGTCCACACTTCAAAAGAAGTTTTCCCATTTATGAGCCCCAGTGCCCCTTCCCAAATAATAGGCCGACACCAGACAGAGTTGTACCTGGGTCTCGACTGCCGGGCCCGTTTGTCAGCCCAATGTCCTGCATCACGCTCCGCAAGATCCTTTATCAGCAGCGGCGCCATCGCCAGCAAGTCGATGGTCGAACCGTCACTGCAGTGGACCGACCTGACCGATAGCGGTCTCCAACCTATCTCGGCCACCGTGAGCAGGTACACATGGGCTGGTGGCTGGTGATGTGGCGATGTGCCATGGTCGCCTAACCTTCCAGAGGTCGTCGGAAGCCTTCTCAAAAATAAGCTGCAGCACGTCAAGCCCTGGGGTTCCATCCCAGATCGCCCTGCACCACTTGAAAACAACGTTGCTGTGGTACACCACGTATGGGTCCATCTTGGCCCCAATCGGGAACGACCTGAGCCTGAATGACATCACTGTCCCATACTTGTCCCTGCACAACTCCTAGTCGCAGCCAGCCGCACACTATGCATTTGCCTTTCTCTTTGGCTTCTGCTGCTGCTGCTGCTGCTGCTGCTGCTCCTCCTCCTCCTCCCGCTCCTCCTCCTCCTCCTCCTCCTCCTCCTCCTCCTCCTCCTCTCCTCCTCCTCCTCCTCCTCCTCCTCCTCCTCCTCCCCCCCTCTCCTCCTCCTCCTCCTCCTCCTCCTCCTCCTCCTCCTCCTCCT